ACGAGTGGGTGCGGTCCGTCGACTGGCGCGACCTCCGGACCGCGCCCGCGCCGTTCGCGCCGACGGGCGGCGCGGCGCTGCCCCAGCTCCTCGACGAGCTCAAGACCGCGCGCGCCGACGACGACCGCTTCCCCGGGCTCGTCGCCGCGGTCACGGCGAACTTCGACCACGTCGCCGCCGGCGCGGGCGCGCGGTGGACGTCGGCCGCGGGCGGCCGCGCGGCGCCGGAGGGCGCCGCGCGGCGCCGCGACCGGCGCCGCGACGCCCCCGCGCCCGCGCCGGGCGTCCCCGCGGACGCCTTCGTCGACTACACCTACCGCCGGCGCCGCCCGAGCGGCGCGGGCCCGGAGCGCGCGGCCGCGGCCGCGTCCGCGCGCGCGTCCATCGAGACGCTCGCGAAGCGGCCGTCCCTCGGCCCGGGCGCGTCGCCGAACCGCGGCGAGGCCGCGAAGAAGGTCGACAAGGGCTCCGGCGGCGAGATCGTCCTCGAGGTCGGCGTGTAACGACCCCGTATGCGCGCGCGCGCGCGTCGACACCGCGGCTTTAGACGAGCTCGATGCCCGGGTCGCCCCCCCGGTCGCCCGCGGTCGCGGCGGCGTCGTCGCGGTAGCGCGCGCGCGGCCCGACGTCCGGCGCGCCGGCCTCGTCGCCCGTCGTCAGCTTCTCCGCGTCTTCGTCGTCGCCGTCCGGCGCCGCGCGCGCGCGCCGGCTGACGATGAGGGCGGCGAGGCCGACGAGGGCGAAAAAGGCCGCGACGACGGCGGCGATGGCGCCGGCGCCCGCGCCGACGGCCGAGAAAAGGCGCCCCCGACGGCCGATAAAGGGCCGCCGCGGCGCGGGCGCGGGCGTCGCCGGCGGCGCCGCCGTCGGCGCGCGCGCGGGCGCGGCGGGCGCGGGCGACGGCCGCGGCGCCGGCGCGGCGCTCGGCGCGCGCGTCGACGGCCGCGGCGACGGCCGAGACGTCCGCGGGGACGACGGCGGCGCCGTCGCGTCGAGGGTCGCCGCGTAGGCGAGGACGACCGTCGCCCACGCGAGCGTCTCCTCGCCTGTGTGGAAATCAAATCTTCAACCCGACATCAAGGTGAGCGTATTTGAAAGTTTCGACGCAAGTTCTTCAACCCCGCATCGAGAACTCGACGAGAGCGATCGATTCGTCCAAAAATCAGCCGAATCGACTTCGATTTGACCGAGCTAGAGAATTTCAAAGTTGG